CAATCTGGTGTTGTCATAATATATAATTAGAATAGTATGAGATTGGTTGTTAAATTGGAATATCCAACAGTAATAATTAATAAAGATAAACAAAATGTTATCATCTCTTAGCTTCATTAATTTAAACCACTTGAACCACAAAAATTTACTTTATACTCATGAAATAAATTAAATAAATTAAATAAATTTGTATTTGATTAATAAATAATTTATAATACAAAACATCAAATAAACATAGAGAGTAACTTAAAAAGAATAAATGAATAAAAACTAATAAAAAGTAGTTAATTAAGTATTAATAGAACTTGTGTCTATTGTTCCTGCCTCAGCGGAGACTAATCCCGTCCCTGAGTCTTCGTCTTGTAGTTCAACTACATATGTTTGGTTGTGATCTCCACAGTGTTCCATGACGTCCATCATGTTTTTAATTACATGGTTTTTGATTTCTTTAATGATGTCAATTTCGATTTTTAATTCTTTAATTAATTTAATACTTTCCGCATTTATTAGCCCATTAATCGAAATTACTACTGCAATTATTTTGACATCTTTTAATTTCTCTATTTTCATTAGCCTATTTTTCAATTCCTTATACATATTTCTTTTCTTCCAATACCCTCCATTAATATTATGATCTGCCACAATATTCATATCAATTATTAGACCAGTTTTATTCTTTTTATCTATTACATATATATCTGGTCTTTTATGATATAGTCCATCACTTTTTGGCATTATTTGTTTGTTCAATATCATAGTGATGTCATTGTATTGGAACACTGTTTCATATGGGGGTTTCTTGTATTGATTATTTCATGTGTATTTTCTTATTAACCCCTCCCATATGATGATGCCAATATGGTCATTTTTCTCCATTTGTGATTTTTTATGACCAATACAAGATAGTAGAATGTGTTCTACTGTGGATATCTTGTATTTACAAAGTGGGAAGTACTTTAATCTTTCATTTTTTAATATTTTTGCTTTCCTGTACCCACTAAATATTGCTCCATCTTGCATTTTAGTTAATTGGAGAAATGCATTTTTCTTTATATTGATGGACTTCAATGCATTTATTGTAGTAGTTTTATCTACAAATTTTGACTCGAACTATCTTCTAAAATGTCAACTTGTTTGATTTCCATTTTTTGATGTATTGGTTGGTCATTAATTTCTTTATTTTTAATACTACTTCTTTTTTATTTTTATTTTCAATCCCTTCATTTATTATTTCTTCTATTTGAGTTTCTGGGATTTTATGACTTAGTGATTTTTTAATTCTATTCCATATTCATTTCTTGGAATACCATCTATCTATTATGTTATTTCCTATTTCACTCTTGTACAATAGTACATTACTGTTCTAATTAATTCAATAACATATTCGTCCCTTAGGCTTATTAATCATTCACCCATTTCATTTATAGGGACATATAGACGGTCTTTGGAGTTACAATAATGTATTTTGCCTTTCTTAAATATTTTCTTATCTCTAAATCCATTCTATCTATGTTACCTTCCAATTTACTACTGATGCTGAATATCTGAAGATGGGTATTACTTCATTATTAATTCTTGTAATGTATCTTCTATTACTACTTTCATCAGTATTTATCTCTTCCATTTTCTTCATCATCTTTTCTTTGATGATTTTACAATTGAAGGTATCATTAATTTCATCGGACTGCCATACACCTAAATATTTATACAAGTCCTCTCCTTCAATTATTGGGATGTTTTGCATTCCATCTGGTATTTTATTAATGTTCTTTAATACCATTCCTGATTTCTTTTCATTTCCATCCCTATTCCACTTATTATTTCTTTAATTTCATTGTTGATTGTTCCCATTTCTTCACTACTTTGTGTCATTATTCTCAATTCATCCATATATAATGTATTGTTTGATTTTAGGAACTTCTCTTCTATGATTTGAGAAATTATATTCATTTTGATGATGAAGAGTAGAGGGGATAATGAATCACCTTGTAAAATTCATCAATTTAATACATCCTAGATATTCATTATATTTATATCTTATGAATATCTTCCATCTGTTCATCATACTTTCTACAATGTCTATGATGACTCCCTCTACATTAAAATATTTAAGTGTTTCTATTACCCATTCATGATTTACTGATTCATATACTTTCTTAATGTCATAATATGACTCTACATATTTTGTGTATTTCTCTTCTTTTTGCTGCTTTAACATATAACTGTTAATTAATCCTTCTTTAGCAGCAAGAGATTGCAGTTTACATCCCAATTGATTTTTACTAATTTTTAATGATTCACTATTCATGTTAATTCTATTATGAATCTTCTCTTTTAATATGGAGGTAAATACTTTCATTATTACATTTGTACAACTGATAGGACGATAATTAGTGACATCGTTCCTATCATCTCCTTTGTGGATTAATATAGTTCTTCCACTTACCATGTCTAGAAGGATGTTTTCTGGGAAGTTTAACCATTCATTGAATATATTAAGAATGGAATCTCTTGATGATGACATTCTCTTCCAATAATACAAATATATAATGTCAATACCTGGTGCTTTCCAATTACTTATTTTCATCATTCTTAAATTTAAATCATCCATTGTGATGATGACACTATCATAATTCCTGTATCTTTCATTCCACGAGGTGATTTGATTTATTTTCAAATGTTCTCTATTTAATATCACCTGTGTTTCATATAACGATTTCCAATATTCTAAAGTAATATCGTTATTTGGGTATATTTCATTTTGTGGGTCTTTCTTCTTTCTTTTGATTTTGTTATTAGAATCAAACATAATTTTATTTGTATTGATTCTGATAATTTCATTCTTATTAAATTTAATTCTTTCTTTAATCATTATCATCATATATTTTAGGTACTTTATTCTTTCTTGTGCTTTAATTTTAATTTCATCTGCATCTTGTTCATTTAATCTCATAATACATTTTATTCTGTACCATTCCCTTGATTAGATATTCTAATCTATTTATTTTCCTTATGATTTCTTTTATTTCATCAAATTTATCTCCTATGAATTTATTTTGGAGATAATAATACATACACATTGAAATCATTTTCATATCTTCTTGCAGATTTTCTATTCTGCTGACCATACCCATTTATTATTTATTTCTCTAATTAATTTATCTGCTTCTTTCCTTTTCCAGTAGTAATTAATATTTACACATTTATCTATCTTCATTTCTTTAAGTTGAGTGATGATAGAGTTAAGATATTCATCATCAATATCAGTAGAGTTATTTTTTATGATAATGTTTTTTATTATTGGGTTACACTCTACTTTCCCTTCTATGATGGAGTTCACTTTCATTTTAATATATCTTTTAGTTGTTTCTTTTATTCTATGTGATAATTTAATATTATTAATGTATTCTTTATCATTATTTACATTAATATTTATTATTTTTATTATATTTTATTTCTTCATTCTTAATTTCTTATTTAATTTCTTATTTAACAAATTAATTCAAAACAATACAACATATCAATTAAAATTCTATTTGTTTGATTTGTTGTGTTTTCTTCTCTTCTTGGTTGATTATTATTTCTTGTTTTTTGATATTCAGTGTTTTGCTCTCTTCTTCTTTTATTTCCATAATTGTCTTTTTCATAGGGGTAGTTTGGTTCATTTGTATTGTCCCAGATGATGATGTTCTCAATATTGGTTGTATATTTATCACTAGAGTCATTGTTTTCTTCTTCTCCAGTTCCTTTTTGGATAAAAAATTTTCGATACTTTCTTGTTGTTTTGATATTATTTGTTTTTGTTCTTCATTTTCTCTTTGTGTATGGTCTAATTCTTCTCTTGTTATTTCTGCAATCTCATAGTTTTGAATCGCACTTTTTTGATATACAGAGATTTGGTTTTCTTTATCTCTTATGTTCTTCTCTAGCAGCTCACCACTCTTCTCCAGCTCATCAGCCTTCTTCTTCTCCAGCTCACCCCTTCTTCAGCCTCTCATAGCTAGCTCGGAGCGTGAGGATGGTTTCATCCTTACCTCCTACTTCTGTGTTCCTTCTACCATTTGCTTCATTAATTTTTCCTTGTAATGTATTATTTTCCTCCTTTAATTTAGAGTTTTCTTTTCTTATTTCATTACATGTAGTTTAAATATTGTTCATTTGTGTTTGAATCTTTTTTATTTCTTCTTCAATCTCTTTCCTGACTGTTTCTCGTGTTTTTTGAATCATTTCATTTGAAATGATTCGTTCTTCTTCCATCTTTTTTGTTTGAAGTTCTTTAATAGTTTCTTCTATTTCTTTAATTTTATTTTGAAGTGTGTTGATTTCTTATTTGTTGCCTTCTTCTTCCTTTTTCTCTTCTTTTTCTTGTGTTTTCCTTTTATTTTCTTTTTCATTTATTATTCTTGCAGTTTTACATCTATCATTCATTTCTTTGTTTCGATTTTTGTTTTTGATTTCTTCTTCGATTGTTTTAATATCTTCACTTTTCCAATCTTTTGTTTTCTATTTGAATTCTTCTTTGTTTTTCTCTAGTGTTTTCTTCTTTCTTATTGAATATACTTCTTGGAGAATATTATACCATTTCTTTACCTTCATACTTTTTAAGTATTTCTGAATATTCTCCTTTCTCCCATTTTCTTGTTATTCTTTTAATTTTCATTTTAATTTCATTTATTGTTAATAATTTAGATTTCTTATTTGTATAATGTTTGTTATCATTATATTTGCCTTGTTTTTTATTTGTTTTTCTTTGTGTTCTTCTTTTTCTATTCACTTTTTTCTTGTTATTTCTTTTATCATAGTTATTATTATACATTTTATTGTTATTTCATTCATTCTTTTCTTTGAACTTGAATACCTGTGTCTTGTTTGATTTTCTTTACAAGACTCTATGGTATTACTCAATAGCCATGGCAACAAAATTTGTTGTATATTCTGCATTGATAAAAGGTTCTTTTTTTTATCTATAAACAAAAAAAAAAACTGAAAAATATAATCAAATGAGTGACTCATTTATTGAAGCATTAAATGAAACTTCATCTGAAGGCTTTGTTAGTAGTCTAACCAACGACAAAAATACTACAATACCTGGTGATAATGTTTCAAGTGAACACACAAATGAACCACCATCTCAAGAAATAGCAAAACAAAAAAGAACAGAAGAAGCAAAAAAACCAAAAAGAATAAAAGAAGCAAAAAAACCAAAAGGAATAGAAGAGGCTGAGCTCTATACACTTCTCCCATCAGGGAGTTTGTTAAAGCACAGTGATTTTGGATTCTATGAAGTTAATGATCATAGAATTCTCAAACCTGATACCCTTGTGAAGATTGAGTCTGAACAGAGGCTTGGCATACTAATAAACCAATTTAATTGGTTTATAAGCCCAAAAAGAAGTTTTGATAAAAAAGAAAGCAATAAATAATTCAACAGCTTAAAAAAAATTTTTCTTTTTTTAAATTAACAATAAGAGGAAAACCTTATTTAAATAAAACTATTTGATTTAAGACAGTCATAGACATTCTATTCATGAAAATTGTTGGAAACATAACTCGTTGTATGGGTATAACAAAACTGCTACAGCCCCTAGACATGGTTGTATTACTCCTTGAATACATACTTTATCACAAGGTGCAGAATACAAAGTATATGCACCACCTTCACAAGTACAATGGTCTTGAACATAACCGTCTTGCATTCCTCCTAATCTATAACGAACACGAATACAACGAGCTTCAGGTGATTCATGAGCACGAATAATAAATTTTAAATGGTTTTGTTGAAGAAATAAATTTGATTGTTTTGATCCCCAAACAATCCCCACACCTCTAAAATCATTTTTCTTAAAACCATCAGCAAGTTCAGGATCTGACCATAATAATTGATTAAATAATGATATAGGATTATTTGGGTCTTCATCAATGAAACGATCAATACTATTAATTTCTTCAATAAATCCAGGTTGTGTTAATTCATTTCTTGAAAAAATTCCACCATGAGCACAAAATGCAGAATTAGCAACTACTGCTGCTAAAGGAAGAGATTTATAAAATTCACTACAAACATTTAATATTGAAATATAATCTTGTGGAAACTTAGATTTAATTTCATCAGTAAATCCATATAATGAATTCATAGCTAAACTTTCATGGTTTCCTCTTAAAAAGTAAATTGATTTTGGTTCTGTTAATTTTAAAATACTCATTGTAACTAAAATTTCTAAACCATCAACTCCTCTATCTACATAATCACCAAGTAAAATATAAACGTGTTGTTTTGTTGGATAGCCAAATTTATCAAAAATTTTAATTAAGTCATTAAATTGACCATGTAAATCTCCTACAATAATGAAATAATGATCATCATCTTTCTTTTCAGGTTCAATTTTAATCAAGTTATCAGTTAATCGAAGATATTCTGTTCCTTTAACTAATATATCAATAATTAAATTATGAGGAATTCCTACTAATTTCCCTTCTCTTTCTTTCATTCTTCTAATAATATTTTGACAATAATCATTAGTTAATACTTCAGGTAACTGTCCCATTAAATGGTTCATTTCAAAAAAAAATCATTTTTTTCAGTTCTTTAGTTCGTTTTATTCTATTTATTATAAAACAAATTTTTTTTGATAAAAAGAATATTAACGTTATATATATCAGAAAATAAGAAAAAAGAAAAAATAAACTTAAAAAGTAATACAGACCAAAGATGAAGTTATTGATTATAATGGTCTTTATTTGTTTAAGTGTTGGTAAATATCAAAAAGGAGAAGCAATATCAACACAATATCAAGTTAAAACAAATGATGTAATATATAAATGGGAACCATTACCATATAGTGCAAGACCAAAATTTGGTGAACGAACTCAGTTTTCATTAAATGATTTAGGAGTAACTTTCTTTTATAATGATATGTTCAAAATGTTTGTGTATATATTATTATTATTATTTATTTAAATTAATTCATTGTATAGTCGTTTTTCATTTCAAAATGGAAGAATAATAACACCATATATTCCAATTCATCAAAATGGAATTCCTATATTCACAAATGCAACTATTAATTTTGATGTGATTAATGGAAATATTACAAAAGCAACAGTAATTCCTTTTTGTTTGTTTTTTTTTAATTTATTTATTAAAGTAATTGAGGTATTAATTATAATAGTAAGAACACAAGAAAAGTTTAAACCAGAGACATTTGGATTTGTTAATTTTTTGTTTGTCTTTAATGAAAAGACACATGAATATACTTATTTATCTCAAAATCTCATTCTTTCAGGATCTGTTATCTTTTGTGGAATCTTAGCATTTCTCTTGTTCTTGAAACAAAGTCATTCTAAAAAGTAATTCATTTTTCTTTAAGAAATAAATATGATTCTGAAAAACAAAATCATCACCACTTAATTTAATTATTTTTATCTTAATAACTATAAAATAATATATAAAAATTATATTTAATAAGAAATAAAATGAACTTAAAAAGGAAAATTTTAAAAAATAAAAAAGAGATTTAGAAAAATATAAAAAATAAAAAAAAAATCTAAAAAATGAATAGAGAGGAAAGAAATGGCAAGATTTGAGATCAAAAGAAAAGTTAGTACTAAATCTACACGAGTTAAATGTGTTGATTTTCATCCTAAAGAACCATGGGTATTAGCTGCACTTCATACAGGAACAATTTATATTTTAAATTATCAAACTAAATCTATTGTAAAAACTGTTGATATTGGTGATAAACCAATTCGAAGTGCTAGATTTGTTGCTCGTAAAGAATGGATTATTGTTGGAAGTGATGATATGATGATTCGAGTATATAATTATAATACAATGACATTAGAAAAAAGTTTTGTTGCACATGAAGATTATATTAGAGATATTATTATTCATCCAACATTACCATATATTTTAACATGTTCAGATGATACTACAATTAAATGTTTTAATTTTGAACAAAATTTTGTTGAAGTTATGGTATTTAAAGGACACACTAATGCAGTTATGTCATTAACATTAAATCCAAAAGATCCTAATATTTTTGCATCAGGATCATTAGATGGAACAGTAAAAATATGGGGATTAAATAGTAATTCAGCACATTTTACATTAGAAGGTCATGAAGCAGGAGTATGTTGTGTATGTTATTTAATAAATGATACAAGACCATATCTTTTATCAGGAGGAGAAGATACTATTATTCGAGTTTGGGATTATCAAACTAAAGCATGTGTAAATAAATTTGAAGGACATACTGATGTAGTATGGAGTATTAAATGTCATGAAGAATTTCCAATTATTGCATCAGCATCAGAAGATTCAACAATTAGAATTTGGAATATTCAAACTAATAAAATTGAACGAGTATTAAATTATGATTTTGAACGAAATTGGTCATTAGCATTTAATGGTAATTTATTAGCTATAGGATCAGATCAAGGAACATTAGTAGTAAAGATTGGATCTGATATACCTACTATTTCTATGGATGGAAATGGAAAAATTATTATGACAAAAAGACAAGATGCTATTATGTATAATGCTAAAAATATTGAATCAAGTGATGGAGAAATATTAATGCTTCCAATGAAAGAACTTGGAGTTGTTGATGTTTTTCCACAAAATATTCAATTTTCACCAAATGGTAGATTTATAGCAATTGTAGGAGATTCTGATTATATTATTTATACAACATTAGCATGGAGAAATGTTAAATATGGAAATTGTTCACAATTTGTTTGGTCAGATAATGGAGGATATGCTGTATTAGAAAAGAATGGAAATATTAAAGTATTTAATAAACAATTTGAAGAGACTAATATCAATATTCAAGAAGAAATTAGTCCTGATGGAATTTTTGGAGGAAATTTATTAACATTAAAATATGGAGATTCATTATCATTATATACATGGGAAGGACAATTTATTACTGATATTCAAATTATTGCTAAAAATCTTTATTGGTCAGATACAGAACTTGTTTCTATTTGTTCAGATGATAATTATTATATTTTAAAATATAATAGTGAAATAGTTCAACAATATTTTAATAAAAATAAAAATGTCCCAGAAGAAGGATTAACTGAAGCATTTGAAGTACTTTCTGAAATTCCAGAAACTGTTAAATCAGGAAATTGGTATGGAGATGCATTTATTTATATTAACCATAATAATTCATTATGTTATTATGTTGGAGCATTTTGTAATATTATTACTCATTTAGAAAATAATATGTATTTACTTGGATATTTACCTAAAGAAAATAGATGTTTCCTTAGTGATTTAAAAGGAGAAAATATTGTTAGTTATAAATTACTTCATTCATTATTAGTATTCCAATCAGCTGTATTAAGAAAAGATGAAAACAAAATTGAAGAATATTTAGCTCAAATTCCTAAAGATTCATTAAGTATTGCTGCATTATTTTTAAAACAACATGAATACCCAGAATTAGCATTAAGTATTTCTGATGATCCAGAATTTAAATTTGATTTAGCAGTCAGTTTACATAAAATTGATTTAGCAAGAGAAATGGCAGATATTATAAATGATGATCATCAATGGAAAGAATTAACTAAATTATATTTAGATAATGATGATATAGAAGAAGCAATTGATTGTATGTTTAAAGGAAATGATTGGAGTGGAATTTTATTATTTGGTGTTGCATTAAATGATGGTGAATTAATAGAACGTTTATTGAAAATTACTGAAGAAAAAGAAATTTGGAATATCGCATTTGTTTGTGCTCATATCATGCAATTAAAAGAAAAATGTGTTCAAATATTACAAAAAACAACTAGATACCCTGAAGCTGCAATGTATGCTGTTACTTATGGACTTCCTCCTGAATTAGCTAAAAGTATTGTTGAAGAATGGAAAAATGAATTATCTGAAGTTTATCCAAAACAAGCTGAAGCACTTGCAAATCCACTTGATAACCCAGAACTGTTTGTTCTTCCTGAACAACAATAACATTTAATTGAAATAAAAGAAAATCCGTTTCAAAGTTATTGAATTTAGGTTATAACCTTATTTTTATTACTTTTCTTTTAAAGAATAAAAAATTTGTGTTATGTCTCTCTTTAAAAATGTTTTTTTCTGTTGTTACATATTATTGAATTATTGAAAAACAAAAAAAAAAAAAAGAAAAACAACTCTATAAATAAATTTTTGATAATTATTAAAAATAATAAATATCATTTAAAATTTTTAATTCAAATTTTGAAAAAAAACAATCTTTGGTAAAAACAGATGGTATTACTTACTTTTAATAAAACAGTTTCTTTTAAGAAAATAAAGATTTAATTTTTAAAAAGGAAGAATAATTATTGGAATTATTCGACAATTTGGTAAATTTCTTGAGTATTTTTTATTAATTTTTTAAGAATCGTTTTGTTGAAACAATTTTGTTTTAACATTTACTCTTACGTGGTCTATTTTATTTGTGAAAATATTCTTTTCATTAAAAATTATCGTTTGCAAGTTGATGTGTGAGACCTTTGAACAAAGTATTAGAATTTTGTTGCCATAATTTCTAATTCTTGATATATCATTTGGGCTTGTGAAATGAAGACTGTTGAATGAAGGAAATAAAGAGAAGAAGGTGTATAGATATATGTTCTAAATTAATAGTTTGAGAGTATTTAAGTTACAAAAGTTTTGAAAAAAATTAGTAAACTTCTATGAATTTGTTACTAGTAACTTGAGGGAGATTTGTAAAGTGATAAATTTAATTGAAGTAAATGTGACCATAAAATATAATGAGGACCAAACAATAGAAAAATAACGAAAAAATAGAAGCAATTTAGGTAACACAAACTTAGTAATTTCAAGAAAGTGATGATAACTTTCTTAATATGTTAAATTATAATTGTAAATTATATTACAAAGCGGAGATATAGGCATTTGTTGATTAGAATCGATGAAGGGAATTCTTTTTGCCATAGAACGAAAAAGAAATGTAAAGAGTTTTTTACTTCGTCAGTAGACTTGATATATAAAGATACCTATGAATCATAAAAGAACATAAAAATGGAGAAGATGTTCTGTAATCAATGTGAACAAACAGCTAAAGGTACTGGCTGTACGGTTTGTGGTGTTTGTACTAAAGAACCTATTGTTTCTAATACTATGGATGTACTCATTTATGCCCTTCGTATGAACGCTCTTATTGCTTTAAAAGCAAAGAAAAATGGGATTAAAGTAGATAATGAATATCATGTCCTTACTTGTTCAGCGTTGTTCTCTACTTTGACTAATGTTAACTTTAGTGAAAAAGATATTTCACATTTTGTTGAACAAGTTTTTATTCAACGTAAGAAATTAATGGAAAAATTACCAAAAAGTGAGTTAAATGGAGTAGAAGATGTTGAAGATGTTGCTCATTATATTGAAACTCATATGTCAGACAAAAGACCAAACAAATGGACTGACAACCAAGATATTCAAAGTTTAATGCAAACAATTGTCTTTGGATTAAAAGGAATCTGTGCTTATGCATGTCATGCACACTTATTGAAAAAAGATAATGTCCAAATCTTTGAATTTATCCAAGTTGCATTAGCCGCTGGTTATGATGGTAAAGAAAGGACATTAGAAGATTGGATTCATTTAACATTAGAAGTTGGTAAATGGTCACTTGAAACAATGAAATTATTAGATGAAGCAAATAATACTCTTGGACATCCAGAACCAACAGAGGTATTAATTGGACATAAGGCTGGAAAATGCATATTGGTTACTGGACATGATTTGCATGATTTAGACTTATTACTTAAACAAACTGAAGGTAAAGGAATTAATGTTTACACACACGGAGAAATGCTTCCTGCACATGGATATCCGTTATTAAAGAAATATAAACATCTTGTTGGTCATTTTGGAACTGCTTGGCAAAATCAACAAAAAGAATTCCCAACATTTCCTGGTGCTATTCTATTTACTACTAACTGTTTAATGAAACCATTACCTAGTTATAAGGATAGAGTATTCACTACGAATGAAGTTGGGTTTAATGGTTTAGTTCATATTGGAAATGATAAAGACTTTACTCCAGTTATTCAGAAGGCATTAGAAATGGAAGGGTTTATTGATGATTTGAAAGAAGATACTGTAACTACTGGATTCAGTCATCACGCTATCCTTGAAGAAAAAACAGCAAATAAATTAGTTTCATTAATCAAAGAAGGTAAGATTAAAAATATTTTTGTTGTTGGAGGTTGTGATGGAGCTAAGGCAGGAAGAAATTATTATACTGAACTTGTTCAAAAGATTCCAAAGGACAGTATTATATTGACTTGTGCTTGTGGTAAATTTAGATTTTTTAGAGAAAAACTTGGAGATATTGAAGGAATTCCAAGACTTCTCGACCTTGGACAATGCAATGATAGTTATTCTGCAATTGTTGTTGCTTTGAAATTGGCTGAAATATTTAAATGTGAAGTAAATGAACTTCCATTACACCTTATTCTCTCGTGGTATGAACAAAAGGCAGTTGCTGTTTTATTAGCATTATTATATCTTGGAATTAAGAATATTAGAATTGGACCAACAGCACCTGCATTCTTAACACCTGGAGTGTTTAAGTATCTTCATGACAATTTGAATTTAATGATGACTACCACACCTGATAATGATCTTGCTAACTTATAAGAAAGTCAAATTAATAATCATGAATTAAATTTTTATGATTTATGTTTTGTTGTAAGTTAAAAAATAAGAATTAGATGACAACGAGTATAGAGACTATTATTATTCTATAGCCAATATTTCAATTAACCCATTTTATTTATCTTTTTTTATTCTGTTTTATTTCTCTCATTTTTATTTGACTTAAACCTTTATAATCAAAGCATTTTCTTATTTTATGATGTATTTGTTCTAATACTCTCTTATTTCTTTATCATAAAGACTCTTTTTATTTTCTTATTTATCTCTTTTTCTTTTGTTTTTCTCTGACCTGTTCAGTCCATAACTTTATTTGCTTCTGACTCCATTTATTAAATTGTTCTTTTTTCTCATTTCAATGATTTTTTTTATTCTTAATTAATAAAATTTCTTTCCATTACCCTTCTTCCTTATACTTATTTTATTCTACTTAATCCTTTTTCTATATAAATTAAGTTCTTCCATTCTTACTTGTTATAAAGAGAATAAAATAAATTCCTATTATACAAATAAAGAAAGAAGAAAAGATGAAAATAATAATAATTTTCAAAAAGAAGTCTTTTAATTTTTATTCAAAAACACTTCCTCCAATAAATTCTCTGATCAATGAGGTAGATCCAATAAGATGATCATCAACTGGCATAAACAACTCAAGTGTATCTAATAAGTTACGTGCCATATTATAGTTTGGATCATCAACAGGAACAGTTTTTAATAGTGGAAGAACATATGGATAAATAGCTGCAATCTCATAATCCATTGAAGAATTCCATATCTTATCTGCTTGATCAACAAATGGAAATATGTATTTTTCTTCACCCTTAGCAACACTAAACCAACTCTTTAATGTATGTGATGCTGTATAATTTCTAGTTAAATAATCTCGTACAATTCTTCTATAAAATCTTAATACTTGATTTCCTATGAAATTATACTCATCAATGTTCAATTGTGTGAGTGGTGCTATGAAGATGTAATACTTTTGTTCTCTTGGT